CATGCAGACAGCTAATTGAAGAGACACGCAAGTTGGCCACAAAATTAACCGACGTCTCAACTTTACTTTCTAATGGCCGGCAAATGAGTTTTTAAAGTGACACTTTCGGCAAGCTTGATCCTAGCATAATTCGATATTTTGGAAAGTTTGCCATAGATTTAAAACATTGGTGATATTTTGACTTTTATAAATGGCCGTAGAAAAAGTATAGTATGCACCAGTTTGATAAACTTTTTCACATACTTGTTTAAGTGAGCCCGGCTGGTGACTAAAGTGTCTTTTATAAAACTTGTTGCATAATATACTATAAACATCGTTTTTAAACTTAAGCTATATCATGTCTAATCTAAAAAGCTTGAATCTTTTAGGGCGCGAAATAGCACTGATAAATAAAAGAACAATTGTTACTTTTGCCAAGATATAAGACTGTATTATTTCAAAGATCTTTTTCATATGTAGCTCCAAAGTCGATCAATAAATTACCAGCAGATTTTTTAGACGATTTATCCTTGCTTAATTACATAAAAAGGTTAAAAAATAATAATTTTTGATACGATTTTCCATGCAAATATTTCTTGATTGTATAGGTTGGTGTACATGAGGTTTTTTTTTCTTGTTGTTTTCTTTGTATGAAATAGGTTAAGTTTAAAAGCGCCCTTTGGGTTGTACTTATCCTGTTATTCTATTTTTTTTATTTGTCATGATTAGCTCCTTGCTGTTTGGATCATAAAGATACAATAATAGTAATAGGTAATGACAAAATATCAAATTTATTGATTTCGTTGCCACGGAAACTAATTCTTTCTTATTTATTTTGTTAGATGACCAACGCCTATGTTTGAGTTCAAAGTAAAACCAAATTTTTGAAACTTTCTGGAATCATTATCGAAGGAAATAAAATCATGGAAGTTTAAATTTGGCAGTTTTACAAGGTGCTAAAAATACTGTGTTGAAAAAAAATGGCAACTAAAATTTTTGCAAAAATTCGCTCAATTGCAAATTTAGCACAATTAATCAATCCCTTAAAGTGTTCCCCGATTATTCGATCAGTCGCGGCGCCCGAAACGTATATTCAAATCGATGTCATTTTTTTTACGTGGCCCACTGGTTTTAGGGAAGCGGTTTTCTGCAAGCTCATCCTCCAAACGAGCGTCGAGCCAAAAAGCGACGCCGTCCTCCCCCTCCCCCATTTTGATACAGTTTAGCGCGTCGTTTTTGACTGCATTACGGATGATTTACGACGTTCGCGGGACGCGAGTATATATAAAACGGTTTTTACTCGCAGCTCACTTTAACACGGCGTATCAGTCACGGCGTTGACAGCGTGCCGCCCCGCCCGCCCCCGAGTAACACCATAAATCATCGTTTTTTCGGTGTCACCTCGCCGTCCTCACCCCCCCCCCCCACCCCTTTTTTTCGCCTAACCGTTTTACGTATATATACGCGATATATCCTACCGACTGCGCCGATTTGGCTCACAACGCGCTCCGAAAAAAAAAAACGACGACGACGACGGGAGAATACGATGGTGTATCATATCGGAGGAAGCCAAGTGCGGGGCCAATTTTCAAATTCAATTTACGACGAACAAAAGCTCCCTCCGCCTTGCGCCCTTTTGTTTTTCGTTTTGCGAAATATTTGCGGCCCGGAAATTCCCCAGGTCGTATAAAATATTGGGGGCGGCGGGGCGCCGCCGCTCTTCCCAATACGTTACCGCGCTTGTGGACCGCTTTTATTCGATTCGAGTGGCCACGGCAATAAAATATATTTTTTGTAACCAAAACTGTAGTCTACTTTAATGTAGTAATGTTAATATTTTATTAGATTAGATTTTTTTTGCCATGAAACAATATAATTCTGTACTAAATGACAGGGAAAATCTTCCTGACGTATTGCTGTAAAAATAATAACTGTTTGCTAGACCGCCATACTTTACCTCTTGTTAAAGAAAGTCAAGATCATTTTGCATTGACTATTCGCGTCCCTCAACTCATAAAAGAGTCGCAATTCACAAGGCGAAATGCGTTACATTATATGCTGAACTTCTACACACCAGCTAAGAATTTACAAAAATACAAAAACAACCGCTTATGAAGCATATCTTGGAGGAATACAGCAAAACATCTCTAATGAACCTTGTGCGTTTTGGTTAGCCATGATTTACAACGGTAATACCCTTGACGACCCTCAAACAATGGATATGAATGTAATAAATACGTTACATCAGTGGTGCCACACGGTTCTAATTTAGGACCCCTCTTGTTTCTAATATTTATTGATGCTGTTGCCGTCCGGCAATACTCAAACCCTGTTCAAAAATGTATACCCCTGTGTAGCTGACTGCGTTATTTTGCAGAGTGCAGTGGATACACTGTTCGACTGGTTTACGTCAAACAATTTACACCTTAACATAGGGAAGTGTGAGGTTCTGAGTTTCAATCCAAAAGATGATAGAACTGATTTTGCATATCGAATTTCAAATGTAATTTTACAAATATCCTTTCTTTGAAAACCCTTTACTCAAAGCATCTACTCTTGTCATAACTGGTCGGTTAATGGTGTACAGTAAAAAATTTTAAATTACATATTCAAAGCTGATGGTGCAGATAGAGTAAGTAGAGGTTTAGATTATGAATTTATTTAAATGGATCTAAAATGAATAGTCTTGAACGGATGCGCAAGTGCTTGTCAGTTATCTCTATTTATGAATTGTTGCATAACGTTATAAACTGTCCCACTTGGTTGGCGTTTTTGAATATTCGGATATCACCGCTAAATTCTATCATTAAAGGCACATCTGTTAAAATGTTTTCTTATAGAAGTAGCGTGTTCTAATTGCAATCATTTGTCAAATATATCTGATATATTTAACTGCAGACTGAATGGATTGAGAAACATATGTTTGAGATCTGATCCACGTTCGCTGTATAGAACGTCAATGTAGATTGCGAACTGCCTAAATTGTGTACCAAAGGGCATATCGTTGTTGGAAATTTTAATTAATTTGATTACTAAATATTATTTTTGTTTTGATATTTCTCTACATTGCTTTGTAAATGGATTGTTTTCTGTTGATCAATAAAGCTGTAATTATAATTAATAATTTTTCAAAGAAACTTCCACAGGCTACTGTAAAACTTTTTACAAAACTTCTGTATTCCTCCTGCATCGGTTTTTGCTTAGTCGAAATTGCTGACGCTTGGCTTCAGAGTTTCAGTCAAGCTCTGAAGAAGCCAACAGGATGATTGGCGAAACGTCAGCAATTTCGACTAAGCAAAAACCGACGCAGGAGGAATCCAGAAGTTTTGTAAAAAGTATTATTATTATTATTATTATTATTATTATTATTATTATTATTCTATTGACAAGACTTCTGGATTGCTCCTGCATGGGTTGTTGTTAAATAGAAGTTGCGCTTGAGATGCCAGGAGTTTACAGCATTCCTTTTATATCCGGCAAAGAATACATTGGAGAGACCGGACGTAAAATATCAACTCGAACACAAAATTTAACGCTCTTTCACTGAGCACGACCACTACGCGAATCTCACCGCTTGCTGACGATTGCATCGGTGTTAATGCTGGAGAGGTGCAAGTTTTGTCAAAATTCGGCCTAAGCCTTCATTTTTTAATAAGGATATTCTAAATATTTTTTCATAATGTAAAATAGATCTAGTTATATCTTTATAATTTTGTTTTTATAGAAAGTTATCGTGCAGCAAACAAATTTTCTTTCGAAATTTAATTTTTATATCGGAAAAATAATTAAAAAAAAACATACAATCAGAGATGTCAAACGCAGGGAATTATTCGTTTTCTTTTCTCAAAGGCGTATTAGAAACTCTATATATTGTTTATTGAAGAAATATTTAAAAAACAAATTTAAGTAATTGATATAAAATCTAACTAATTAATTAATGTGCAACGTGGGCATTTTTTACGGATTTGTCGAATATCAAAGGCACCACCACACTGAAAAAGGCACAAAAGAGACTAGATTTTAAAGAAGCATAAAAACTAACAAAATTAATACAAACTAAAATTACAAATAAAACATTATATAAAATAACAATTAATTTGGCTAACAAATATTATTAGGCGGGTATAAGATAAGTTCTGCGACGATAATAAATGAAGGTATTTTGAATTACGAGTGTAGAAGAAAGAACTGATTTTTGTTGATAAAATTCTCCTTTTTTTCCAAAAAAAAAGAAAAAGTCGCAAAAAGAAAGTTTACCTATAAACCGTATTTAGAATCTTGGATTAATTTGCATGATAAATTTGAATTTAAGAAAAAATACTTGGTCATATAATGCCCCATTGCTCCATCTCATAACGAAGTTTTTTTGTATTTTACTACTTTTTCTTGAGGGGTGTTATCGGGATAGTTATCGCAACCGGAACACTGAGTCTTATTTTCTTGACGTCACGGCAAGTGCGTTGTCGATTTAAAAAAAAAGCCGCAATTCAAATGAGACGTCCGACGTCGCGTCGGAAGCAATAACATCGGATAGTCGCCGGCGAGAGTTACGCCCCGAATTACGCAGTAAGGGTAGTAGTAGCGGAGGCTCTCACCCCTACGCGCCGCCGTCGACACCACTGGCGTGCGAACTGTCGTTTTCATACCCCCACCTCCTGGACGTGACTGATGGTTTTTTAATCGCTTTTTATACAAGGACCGAACGTTTTCACTATCCGGCGCCCCTCCCCAATTTTATTTTTTTTTACTCCCAGATTTGGAAGGGGAAGCCTCAAATCCCCAAAAATAGTGTTAAAATATCCGCAAAAAGGGTAAATACGTACATAGTCAATCGGTTAAGATCGCAGTTGAAATTTCTTCCTAACAAAAGTAATTGTAATTCAGTACCTATATATCATTAGCAGAGTAATAAGTAAATGTACCAGGATCGTTTCAAGACTGATTTTCAGATTTCGTACAAAATGTTCCATACGAAATGTACGGGGCTAAAAATTCACCACACGCTTATTCATCAACCTTACCTACAAAGGGCGCCCCTTCAGTGGCGCCACTGCGCGCGAACCAGACGAGATGAGGGCGAATCTCTCAATATCGATCAGCAGCATGCAAGCAGCGGCAGCCCAATCAAACCGTGTGCGTGACAACTCTCACTCTTTGGGTCCTTTTTGTGCGCGTCCTCCCCCTAGCCCCCCATCGTCCTTCCCGACGCCCCCCTTACGCTTCGGATCGGCGGCGACGCTTTTCCCCGTCTTGCCATCCTAATTCATCTGCAAAAATATAAATATGTATGTATGTTGATCAGGACAGGGGGAGTGGGGGGGAGGTGCAGACTGGGCGGAATCCGGTTTCTTTTTGTATTCATTTATTTGAAAAAGAAAAACATGCGTACCACAATATTTATTTTAATTACGCACCAGCAGCGTTGCCAGTTCAACTCGTTTAATTAATACGTTTACTGGTTTTGCGCAAAATTATGAGTAATCTTTTGTACACATTTCCGTATGAATATCCTTTTTTTTTTCTCAGAAAATAGCGCTTTCTTAAAGCTTAATATATTTTTGTAAACTTTCTATATCATACTTTAATAGGTTAGCTAATACATTTGTTTGAAGGACCAGTATGTGATTTTGATGGTGAGTCATACCGTGAGTCCCAAAAATTGGTGCACAGGGATATACGTTAAAATATGAATAGCACTTATTCGTAACTAAAATATCACAACAAGCAAATACGTTTTCAAGCCCCTTGCATAAAAATTTTATACTTTTAAAATTATTATCTGCGCCAGGGTGACCATTGGGGATTCATTAAAAATACTACACGTTCTGCTGATAAATTTGTGGCACTCACCAAAAATTTGACTATAGATTTGCATTTTCCATTTCTTGTTGTTTTTCCTTGCTTTATTTAAAGGTGTTTAAAATAGCCTTCAAGGCGATTTAAATCATATGCATAGTATAGCATAGGATACCTAGATTTTTTTAGAGAAACGTTTTAAACGCCGATTTTAAAACGACAACAATTTATTCACTCAAATCTGAGAGCGGCTGGAGAGTTTGCAGATAAATTATTTAACGGTAATGTCAAATTTTTATGGTTGCATTGAAGGATACCTAGATATTTAATTTATAAGAGAAATATTTTTTATGTAGATTTTTAAAACGAGGAAAAATCTTTATTCATTCAAATCTAAAAAACGGCCCCCCGTGGATATAGGGACATGTTTGAAAGTTTATAGATAAATTATTGAACTTCTTAACTATATTTTTTTAAGAAATGTAAATGGGACACATTTTATGGTGAATTGGTCATTCAAACAAATGTATTGGATAACGACGTAAAATATATTAAGCGGTAATTTTCTGCAAATAAAAAAAAAATTCCGAAGAAAGAGAAAGAGAAAGCCATAGGGAAATGTTGTTTCGAGTTGAACTGGCAATGCTGTCAGGTGCTTAAATCTAACAAAAGGAAAAACTATTTAATTCTCCAGCATTTCTAATAGGAAACTGAACTTGAATTATTTTGGCCGACTTACTGCAACAGAATACACCATGACATATACTTTAAAAAATACACTTTTCAGTCGGTTAAATTAAAGTGTTATCCTTGAAGTTACTTTTTTGTGCTACACTACACCTTTACATGGCGATTTGTTGGCTGCTAAATCCTAGGCGAAAATCGGATTTTTCAACCATGTTTATCCCCCCACCCCCCTGTGTAACTAAAGGTCGGGAACGTCCCCGGTTAATTTGGACCTATTTATGTCGACCGTCTTAATGTATTCACGCACCCTATCCCTAAACGCATACGAATGATTCGGGAGTGAATCACCACCGGACGTTGAACAGCATCCCCTCCAACCCATGACCCGGGGGAAACGAAAATCCGTCGAATTTGCTTAGGAATCGAGCTTACAGTTATAAAACGGAAATTCTTAAATATTTGCAATATTTAAATCAACTCTAACGGCTTAGGTGTGTTTAAAGTATCACGTACTTTAACATTAAGCGTTCTATTATTTAAATAATCTTCATCGAACTAAAAGTTTTTTCCAATTAATAGTAAATAATCTAGTGCATTGCAGTAGCAAACCAAAATCATTGGGTGGTATTAATTAAAACTGAGTATATACTCGTAGCAGATGTTAGTATTATTGAAAAATTTCCCATACTTTTGTCAAAATAATACATACCCGACATTAAAAAAAAATCAAATGCAGTTTCTGAAATATAAGGACACCCATGGAGTAAATTTGTAATAGAGATGAATGAAACACAAATATGAAAAAAGTTTAACACCTGAAAAAGAAAGACTGATAAAAATCAAACGGGAAATAAAAGGATGGAACTGAACGAATGGGAAACGATTTTTTTTAAATTATATATAAGGAGAAATAAATTATTCAATTTGCAGAGTAAAAGGTCTACAGTTCGTAAAAGAATAGTAATTTATTAGCAGTTTAAATAGCTCCCAAATAATTTTTTCTAATATTCATGATAAGGACATAATTTTTAAAGTTCTAACTATAATGTAGTTGGGACATCGATAATAAGACAACCTATAAGGAAAAGAAAACAAGATGTGACAGATGCAGAAATAGGTAACTTTTCTCATATTTGCCATAATTATTTCTCATTTTTATTTTTAGTTCAACAGAAAGTAGTTCCTTTAAATAATGTGTTATCTAAAAACATAGTTTCTACAGAATATTTATAAACACACCACCAAAAGTCTTGGCCACCAAATATTTTGCCTGTTAAAGATGTACTTTACCAAAATATTCAAAAACCAATGTTACATTTAAAAACTTCATTACCTTCTCAACTAACCAAAACTTTATGGTGTACTTTTGTTTGAACATTTTTTTCTGGGTCTAGCTTTGGGGAAAATTGCCAAGTTCTATTCAAAACAACGGTGAATAGTCTAGATACAAGATTATAAAATTGCTACAAATTACCAATTTTGGTGAAAAATAACGATTTTTGCTAAAAGTTAATCCTTTTTTCATCATTTGAAATTCCATATCTGGACTATCTCAGGGGAATTTTTACCGCTCTTTCGAATATTGCCAGCTGTTTTTTCCTAAAGCTAGAACCAAAAAACATTTAATAATCTACAATCTGTAAAGCCTCATCACCATCATTGTTCACATTTTCCAAAACAGGGACATCTTCGTCGTTGATTTGATGATTTAAGCATCTTTATGAGGTAACTTAAAATTATTTGAGTAACTGCTTTATTTCTGTAGTACACGCTTAATTTTATTTCTTTTCCAGCACCAGCCTTGAAATACTGTGGGAACTTGCGAGTGCTAGGCACTTGCCTGATGATGCTGCCATAATGCTAAGCTAATAAAACTTGGTCTTCTTGGTTCTTCTGCATGGCACGACTTAACCACAGATAAATTCAAATGCCATAACCTGAATGCATTTGAATATGGATTAAAAATAAGAATGTCAAATGGAGATAATATTTAGACGTTGTTTTTGGTACACTTCAAGAATATTTCAAACGATGTAGAGAAACATATATACATTTGTGCAATTAAGGCAGTTAAGGCAATAATTATTGTTATTGTTTACTGTATGCGGAGTGCAACTTTTAAGTCCGTAGATTTATTTAAAACAACAACAAAATGTAGCCTTAAGGCAATTGTTCGATTCATTTGTAAGCATGAGAATTATAATCCTGTAAACTTTGGCAGTGCTACATTCAGCCAATTGTTCATGGCAGAAGTGGCAGGCACACTATAAATAATGAAACAATAATATTACACAATAATAATTACGAAATGACGGAAAAGTCTCATGGTTGACGGTAATATTTCAATATTAATCCCAAGTTTATATCGATATCTTAAGGCTTTTATCTGGTTTCACTTTTCCTTTTTGTTGGTTATGTCGAGAATTAATTTGTATTTGCTTTTTTTATATCATATCATACAATCCAATTAGTGAACCTTTAGCCCACCCATGAGTGGTTAGTGATTTTACTTAAAGCAAGAACCTTTTGCGGTGCTGTAGGAAAAGGTAGTTGCACTGATGAGTCACTATTTAAATTGTTTTCTTTGTAATGAATTTATGATATTAGCAATGTTTCTACACTCAGATTATAGACCAAAAATTTATCGGGGACCGTTTGTCATGTTAGCTGACAAAGTAATCACACTAGTTAATCAGTTTTATTAATTTTTTAATTAACAACTAATGGTGGCCAAATTTTATTAACACACCGTTAACAGAACAAATTATTTTTTGGGGCTGGAATTTAGATGATAGTAACTTTGCTAAAAATTAATGGAAGTCCGCTCTCACACAGTTTTCACATTCGAACTTATGTACGATTTGGCAACACGGCAGCACCGAAACATCGAGTATTATTGAGTATATGTCATTACAATAACACCATATTAATATAAATATATATTGGATATTTTATTCAACAAGGGAAATGTTGAATCAATCACTGCTCATTAGTTCTTCATCGTCATCATTGGATGTTACCCTGTTTTATAAAACTAATAATTAAAATAAATAAATATTATTCTAACCAACTTAAACGTTCGCATATTGTTATCATTAACTGCGCAACTGCGATCAAATTTAATGCGCAAAAGCTTCAAACCAGTAACTGGTGTGCAATGTGGTCATGTATTAAATTTTAGGATCGTTACAGGACTACCGAAATTGTTTAAGCTCGGGGAAAGGGGGGCCCGCGAAAGCCGTAATTCCAAGCCGCTACGCTGCTTAACATTCGAGACGGATGAGTCGGCGTTGTCGAGCAAAACAATTGACTAACGAAGGCTCATTAGTCGCTACAGTGGACATTGGCCGCGTTCCTCCGATAGTGGCAGAAAAAAAATGCCCTCCAACTTTCAGCGACCTTTCTTTATTGGATTTCGAGCGGTCAATGGCGGTGGGGGGGGAGCCATTTTTTTGTAACGTAATAAGTTGAGGTTGTAATCTAATTCGGCGATAATTTTAATGAATGACGTTACTTTTAGTTATATAGATACTAGACAAATAGAGGCGCTGCCTATGCCGATAAAGCAGTAACTTATACAGCACCTATGAATTTTTTTTTATGAAGGTCCATTCAACATGCTCATCCGCGAGATTTGAAATTTGGATATAAAATAACCAACATGCCGCTGACACATCGTTAATAATATGCCTGGATCTCGTTTAATCTTCTGGCAAAACGAGTTAATTGTGTGGAAATTGCTGGTTAGGAAGAGAATGACGCAAAGTGGCATGCGAGGAAAATCATTATCATCAATTTAAATTTAATATAATTCATAAAATAAATAATGTTTTTCTACAAAACAGTTCCAACAATTTAAATTATATACTATTTGAAGGCGGTGGTACTCGACATTCAATACCTTTTTCAATATAACTACCGACAAAATAAACAAGAAGCAACAAAAAAGTCAGGTCAAATGCATGAACAAGGACCAGGATTATTTATTGCATATGTGAAATTTTAAATTAGCTTTTGTATGTGTGGGATTTGATTTTTTAAGTACCTTGGATTCGAATATTGTAGTAGGTTGTAGGTTACATATACATTACAACTCTAAACAACTCCGAAAGATTTCAAAATAAGCAGAAGCTGCTAGAGAAAATGCAAGATGGGGAACGCCATGTATACTCTGAGAAAAAAGTTTTGAAGCGGCGAAGTCTAGCAAGAACGATAGCGGACGACGACTCCTTTTCATAATATCGCACCCTCTCGGTCTCGAGATGTTCGCAGTCACGTAAGGGGGCGGCGGGGCGACGAAGAGGTGGGTCGAGGGGCGGTGAACGCGGCCGACTCTCTCGGACGAATTTCATTATTCTTCCGCTTCGTTATCAGCGATGAACAGAAACGGGATAATGCGAAGTAATAAGGATCAAAAGCTCGACGGCTAGTTAGTCCAAAAACGCTGCCGCGTGTAGATAACTCTAAGACCCCACCCTCCTTTTGGGTGGTATGAGGACATCGACACTTGAAGACCGTCGTCTTAATGGACCCAAGGATTTGCATCGACTTGATGCAAGTCGCAAGCACCCAGCTGGAAAAATATAGGTATAGAGTGTTATCGTGGAAGCAACGCATTAGAGAAATGAGGATGAGAAGAAACCTACATTTACTACCAGAAACTCTTCGCATTTCATGTTTCCTCGGAAAGAGTTAATCGAGATCACATAGAACAGAATGAACTAACATTCGAACTTAACGGCCCGGAAAGATACAGTCACAGTTCCAGAAGTTGTGGACAAACAAACAAACAAAAATTTTAATTGCGGCCACGTTGCCGTCCGTTCCTGGGCAATCTGAAGACTTTCCAAATGGCGTCGGAAATAGGTGACGGACATGTGACAGCCAACAAGTTCCCGCCGTGACGTATGCGACCCCTTCTCCTTATTGAATGCGCAACAAAAGAGAGGTGTATCGATTTTGAGCGCTCCCCGCGCTGTTGGCGGCCGTGGGGGGAGGGAGCCGTATAGGGGGGACCGAGCGATATTTCTACCATTTTCAAATCGTCCGATTTTGCGACATAATTTAATTTGTTTGCCATTTCGGGGCGGTTGGAGGAGGGGGTTACGGTTTTCGAATTCTCCCCCCCCCCCCCCCTCGGCGTCGCGGACTTACGGCTAATAATTTCGAAATTTATCGTGCTCGGGGACGTTTCCGTTGCGTTTTTTTTGGTTACCCCGTGGGGAGTGGGAGGGGTGATTTTCGATTTCGCATGTTAGTTTCATGACGGGTCATTGACTGGGTGAATAAGAGTTGGAAGTCGAATTTATGGGAAAAATCAAATTATCATGTTGTTACGTTTATGAAACACAAGCAAATCGCTCCTGTTAAAAAGTAACGGAACTAAAAATGACACGTAAAGTCGCTAACAATTTATATACTACTATTCACTATACAGACTTCTAATAATTCATATAATGTCTATTACTTATATCAGTTGTTCGCGTTGTAGGGTTTCACTTTACTGACTGATTCTCGACCGGTGCTTCTCGTATTGGTGGTCGAATATTCCAGTCGTTTTTTAAGAGGCCACGTATATAATCACGCTCCCATTCCATTCCATTTAATTGTCGAATTTTATGCATGAAAATCCAGAGTTCTTGTGTTTTACCTGGAAAGTGTAAAGACGTTTTGAATTTACGTCGTTTCAGGTACTAATGAATGTAGTATATTTCAGAGTGTTAAATTGCGAAAAACAAATAAAATTCGATTTTCTTTGCTGGAAAAAAAATGCAATAGCATACGGTTGTCTGTTTCGAAATATTCGCAAAGGCACCTGGGTGTTAAAATTCGATTTAAAAAATTAAGGTTTTATGGCAATAACGGAATTATTAAAAAAATACTTTGGAGGTAGCATTGATTAGTAAAAAATCAAAAACATATTTCAAAAAAAAGAACCATCCATTGTCTACTTTCCTAAACTGGGCGTTGTGACTGCCGCCTCAATTAACAGCTCGACCCCATAAAAAAATCGGGGGGCGTGTTTGCGACGGCGGCGGCGACGGCGGCGTCGTTTTCCATTAAAAACTGTCGATTTTGTTCGGTTACCTCGCCTATTATATTTCCTTTGATGTTTTTTAAATGGACGCCTAGGGGGGAAAGACCGAATTTCGAATAAGGCACCGTTTATGCCCAGAAAATCGAATAACTTCGGGATGTTTACACCGAACGTATTATAGGGCGGAGGACGCGCGGCCCTAGCGGATTTAAAATAACAATGTACTACCCTGATACACGCGGGGACTGTATTTACGCACCCTCCCGGTAAACATCTTTGTGTGCGTGTTGTTCCATCCATTCGGTGTTTTTTTTTTTCAAGTTTTCGTTGTATCTTCTTGGAATTTAACGGAGTGAAAAAAAGGAATGATAATGAACGCCAATGCGTATTTTTTTTATTAAAATATTTTCCTAACGTTTATATAAGTATATATATACTCTCAGAATTTTGTTGGGTATTCGTTATCAAAGTTTGTTAAATTGCCAGATGAAACTTAAAAAATATGGTATATTCAAGTGTTGTTCCCATTTACATCATACCACTATTAACTTGCCTCGTTTTCGAGATATAAAGTGTCCAAGTTTTTACAAAAATCAATCAATCAATGCAATCCAAATATGTTGTATTGGTTAACGTCAAGTCGTCCTAGTAAGTAATCTAATAAAATGGATGTTCATAAGAAAAATTCGCTTCTGGAAAATTAAAAACTTACTTACTTGTTCCTGGACTAAAATTCACGAGATGTATTTTCCATATTAGATGGGGGTCATCTGAGCCCACCATTTATTCTTTATTACACTACTGGTTTCCTCGAACAAGCCCACCAAATTTTATCAAAATCGGGGAATCCTTGGTCACCACGTGTCCAAATTCATGAAATAACGTATAAATAATTTTTGAGTGTTTGAATTGTGCGTAGTTAAGAATGTCACTTTCTGCAACGCAATAATGGAATTAATCAAAACACTGTGATTATTTGAGTTACCTCAGAATCTATTTCAAACAGCTAAGATATCAAAATTACTGATTGCAATTAATCAAGGCAAGGAAAATCACAAATTGAAAAGTAAACTGTGAAATAACATTGTTAGGTTTGTTTTTTGTTAATTTTCATTTGATGGCTCACTAGCAGGCTACTTTTATGAAAAATAAAATAACATTAACCGGTAAGTTGAATTGATAAAAATCGGTATTTTACATTCGGTTCACAGACACATTTCCATTATTTTTAATACATATTCCAATATTTGAGACGCACGAAGAATCTGATTTCCAGCAACATCAACCAGTTCGACTTGGTAACTCTTCTGCACTATCTACTTCTGTGGCATAAATAGAATTACTTACACTATTACCCACCACATAATAATATAGTGGGTTTAAGTTAGGCGACCGTGTTGGTTAATTTACTGATCCTCGACCTATCCACCTGTTTGCAAAATTGACATCTAACCAATTCCTAACAATCTGCCCAAAGTGATGCCCCATCATGCCTTAAGAGTATCTGCAAGCGAATGCGCATATTTAATATTCTCTAACAATTCGGCCAGATCATTGGTAAAGAAATTTAAGTAAGCAATAGCATATATTTGCAAAATTAAAGAACATATTAACGTATTACCTACCTATGATACCCGCCCAAACAATTAATTGAAAGCCTATGTTGAAAAAAATTCCCGTTGTGAGTGTTGAAAGCCTTGTTTCTTAAAAAAGCTGACTCGTCAGACTATAAAATCTGGTGCAAAATATCTTGATGGTTGAAGATCCACTGGCAACATTCAACAACAACGATTTGGAAAATCTTGGAGTCTCAAATTATGTACTTTTAGATAACGGTACGGATGTACTCCTTGCATTTGGGTCTACCAAGCTAAAAATTCATTTACCTATGTCACAAAACTGAAAAATAACGACGAAACTTTTTCTTTTCATTGTAATTTATAGAAAAATGTCAACGCGAAAAGATTGAAATTTCATTTCAGTAAACTTACAATTTCAAAAAACTTCAGGACAATGTGAACAGAAGGACACCATCAATGTCAAACTGATACAAAATAAAAACTTTTGTGATTTTATAAGAAAAAGTTTAATAGTCAACCCACAAACAAGTTATTGCAATTTTTGTTACGTTACCTTAAAAATTACGCCCCTGGCCAAAATTTGACATCAGATTCAGTATGCGAAAATTACTAAAATACTAAAATTTCAAAACTTTCACTCAACCTGTTTCAGAAACATTAAAAAAATATTTTCAGGTCATTACTTTTAGGGCATGAGGGTTTATATTTATTTGGGAGATAGAATATGCTGTTATAGTTTGGCCCACTATTTTCGGGACACCATGTGTATTTAAGTTCTCTGGAAGCCAATTAAAAACCCCTTCAGATAACAGCCTATACCTAATCATTAAGGATTCCGAAATAAAGGTAATTTTCTGTAAACATAGCCATATTTAGATATTTACAAAAAAAATGACAGTTAAGGGATTATTAGTAATAGTTATGCCTGTAGATCTCGTTAACCATCTTATGGGTTAGTAACAATTCTTGTGCGAAGGTGCTGAAAATAAGTTTGACAAATTTGATGGAAAAGCAAATGTTACATTAATACAATGCGTGTCGCATCGCAATATGTAAAAATATACAGGGTGCTTCAAAAGTAAATGTTATATATATATTCGGAACTCATAAATGGAACATCCTGTATAAAATATTTTTAACAGGAAGCGTTTTCTCGAAATTATGTTTAAAAATATGTTATGTGGCAAAATTGTCGTTCGACTGTATTTCTGACTAGTCAGCCTCACAACAAATAAAAAAAAGTTGAAAAAAACGATTGTCAAACACATTACACAATAATCTCTCCCCCCTGGTCTGGCAACGCTCCTCCTTTTATTTGCAGTGGTGGCGAACCCACCGAAAAGTCGAGATTCGAATTTATGAAAATTTCTCAGTGTCAAAAAGAAAACAAGTATGCGAACGACAAGCAGCTTCGTCGAGATACAGAAGCCAAGTGCAGCTTACAATATTTTTACCTTAAACGATGGCAAAATGTTTAAAAAATGCCCAAAATTGCCCAAAAAAATAAAAATATCCCTATAAAAAAATGTTTTTTATAAACGGTGTTGTCGTATAAAATATCCAATAAGTTAATTGGCGATCGGGTAGACGTGAATATCGGGTTCTCGTGCTGGAATTTGAAAAACTAAGTATACGTGTGTGTCTGTGTGGGTGTGTGTCACTATATCGGACAATTTCGTGAGGACTAGCTGTTCTGGAAAGGACAAAATCGCCATCCGAGAAGTGAAACTTTATAAAAAAATATGGGCAACATTGTTCTGGTAGTTATGTAAGTTGAACATTTTTTTAAATAAAATTGTAAATACTTTAAATAATTTATCCATATGACTCCGAGGATATTTTTTCGGATTTGGGCGCTGTCGGAATGCCCCTGTATAGTTTGTTAAACCAAATATTTTAGAACTGATCTATACTGGAGAAAGTTATTACAGACCATAAACACCACTACGATGGCCT